CTGGGAGGCGAGTTTGACCGACGGCAGATGTTTTGGGGCCGCGCAGGCTCGAGCGCTGGGACTGAAGAGACCACGCTGGCCAATGCCTGTCTTTTTTTTTTTTTTTTTTCTCTCTCCTTTTTTTTTCTTTTTCTCTTTTCTTTCTTTTTTTCTTGCCCCTGCCGCCGGAGGAGGAGATGTGGAGTGACCGGCGCTGGGAAGTGACCTGAGAACCTGGTTGGAAGAAGCCACGCCAGCGAGGGCGGGGGCGCCAAGGACGCGAACTGGAAGGGGGAGAGTAATAAACTGAGACGGATTTGCACGTCGGGGAGAAGGCGGAGGCTCTGGGCCCCCGTCTTCCACGTGGATGAAACTAGCGAGGGGACCTCCTGGGCCCGTGGGAGGAGAGGCGACTGTTGGATGTGGTCCCGGGCAGTGGAGGGCGAGTGGTTTCGGGGGAAAAAAAAGGTTTTTTTCTTCTCTTAATCGGAATCGTGATGGTGTTGGATTATTTCACTGGTGGGGTTACTATAGCATGTTCTCCTGTCTATCTTTTAAAGATTTCTGTATGAGACTGTTGAGCAGTTTTTAAAATAGGGTAGGATAATATGAAAAGCAGATAGATGGCGCTCTGTTTGATTCCTACAACAAAATTATCACCAGCTTTTTTTCATTCTTAACTCTTTAAAGGATTCAAACGCAACTCAAATCTGTGCTGGACTTTAAAAAACAATTCAGGACCAAATTTTTTCTCAGTGTGTGTGTTTATTCCTTCTAGGTGTAAATGAGAAGACGTGTTTTTTTCCCCTCACCGATGCTCCATCCTCGTATTTCTTTTTCTTGTAAGTGTAATCAGATGCCATTTTATATATGGACGTATTTATACTGGCCAAACATTTTTCTTTCTTATTTTGTCCCTTTTTTTCCTTCGTACTTCCTTATTTCTTTTCCTTTTTTTCTTTACTTTTTTTTTCTTTTTCTTTCTTTTTTCTTTCTTTCTTTCTTTTTTTTTTTTTTTGTAGTTGTTGTTACCCTCGCCATTTTACGTCTCCTTCACTGAAGGGCTAGAGTTTTAACTTTTAATTTTTTATATTTAAATGTAGACTTTTGACACTTTTAAAAAACAAAAAAAGACAAGAGAGATGAAAACGTTTGATTATTTTCTCAGTGTATTTTTGTAAAAAATATATAAAGGGGGTGTTAATCGGTGTAAATCGCTGTTTGGATTTCCTGATTTTATAATAGGGCGGCTGGTTAATATCTCACAGTTTAAAAAAATCAGCCCCTAATTTCTCCATGTTTACACTTCAATCTGCAGGCTTCTTAAAGTGACAGTATCCCTTAACCTGCCACCAGTGTCCACCCTTCCACCCCAGTCTTATGAAAAGGGGAGGAGAATTAGCCAAACACTGTATGCTTTTAAGAAAAACATACTTTTTGAATAAAATACTGATCTGTCCAGAGGCTTTTAAACTGGTGCATTTACAGCAAAAAGGGATTCTGTAGCTTTAACTTGTAAACCACATCTTTTTTGCACTTTTTTTATAAGCAAAAACGTGCCGTTTAAACCACTGGATCTATCTAAATGCCGATTTGAGTTCGCGACACTATGTACTGCGTTTTTCATTCTTGTATTTGACTATTTAATCCTTTCTACTTGTCGCTAAATATAATTGTTTTAGTCTTATGGCATGATGATAGCATATGTGTTCAGGTTTATAGCTGTTGTGTTTAAAGATTGAAAAAAGTGGAAAACATCTTTGTACATTTAAGTCTGTATTATAATAAGCAAAAAGATTGTGTGTATGTATGTTTAATATAACATGACAGGCACTAGGACGTCTGCTTTTTAAGGCAGTTCCGTTAAGGGTTTTTGTTTTTAAACTTTTTTTTGCCATCCATCCTGTGCAATATGCCGTGTAGAATATTTGTCTTAAAATTCAAGGCCACAAAAACAAATGTTTGGGGGAAAAAAAGAAAAAAATCATGCCAGCTAATCATGTCAAGTTCACTGCCTGTCAGATTGTTGATATATACCTTCTGTAAATAACTTTTTTTGAGAAGGAAATAAAATCAGCTGGAACTGAACCCTAAATCTTGACTTTTGTCATTATTATGCTCAAAGCCTAAGTCAGGGAGGCCCTACAGTGTATAGAAACTATACCTTCTGCCTTAGCATTGAAACAACTAAGTTCTCAGAGAGGAACCTATTAAATGCCATCTTATTGAGGAATATTAAGTTCCTCTCAGCCAAATTTGGCAGGCCCTGACTCTGAAATGATGGCATCAGCTGAATATGTGTCAACTCTCTCCGCTTTCTAGGAATTTTTCTGAGTTTACCACATTTTAAAAAACGCCCTTTGTCTTGAAATTTAAAAAGGGGGGATGGGCAATGTGGATAATTCTTTAAAGATGAAACTAGCTAGCTGATTGTTTTTTAACTTTTATGTTCCTAAAGCTGCTTTCCTCTTGACTTGCCCATAGTTACCATCTAGCAGTGGCTAGAATTGTTTTCCACAGATTAAGAACAAATAAGACTTAAATTATCAATGTATTGAGGAGAAAGCCATTACCAATTATAAAATGTAAAAATTATAAATTTTTTCCTTAAAAGCAGAAAACTTCATGTGGTGCTAAAATCTCCATTTTGTGCCATGCCCAACAGTTATTAATGTCAGTGAAATGCAACAATAACGACCTAGAGAAGCTGGCTCCCGGAAGGCTAGGAGAGTTCTCTCAATCTGTGAATAGCACACACTCAGCTAGTGGAGATTTATATTTCTAATATGCATGAGGGCCAGAGTATTAAGACCTGCATATAAGAAGAATAAGTACGTTTGGATTGCCTAAGGTCCATTAGTAGTATTTAGTTTGGAACCTGAAACTTGCTAAGAAGCACTATTTCCTGTTAATTTTGAGAGTTAACAATTGCCATTCAAAAAATCCATCTTCAATTTCCAAATGTTAAGAATGTGCTTTTTATTCCTTGTTTTTCTGCACTGGCAAGGAGGGGTTAATGAACAGAAGTGTTTGGAAATAACCCTTTAGTCGTTGGGATTGCTTTTAGGTAAGGGAGTGTCCATCTTGGAATGTCTAGCTGGAAGAAGAATTTTGGAGCCTGTAGTCCTAAACAAGCAAATTTTTTTTAATGAAAAGCAATAATTCCCCCCTCCAAAATAATAGAACTGTTACGTTTTGATATAATTTCATCTTTTAAAGATCATCATATCTGCTAGTTTCCAAATTTTCATGTATTCACATACAGTTTTAATTGCATTTGTGTTCTACAATTGTGTTATATTTTAAACAGACCTTAAAACCACATGGTGTGTTAAGTCTACAAAGATCTTTACAAAAGGAGGAAGAACTCTTAGAAAGTGCTTGAATTTTTTGTTCATCGTAGTGATAACATGATCGTTTAGTTTTTTCAGATCCAAAGTATCAAAACCTTGATACAAATGAAGCCTATATGATGCATTTTTTAAGTATGTTTTATTTTTAGGGTTCTTTTTCTAGAACTATTTATTATCCCTTGACTTTCCATGTAAGAGTGGATGCTTTAAATATTTTCTTTTAGAATTTTGATGTTTCTTTAAAAATAAAAGTTTAAATGTGTGTGTCCTTCCTTATGAGGTAATAGAGTAAATGTAAAAACCATTTTTGTACTTTCTTTTCTCTGAATCAATTTCCATTCATAAGAGCTACATGTTAGGTGGCACAAAGCATAATAAACCTGAGAAAACAATTTAGTATGACTTTTTCTTTTCAGGTGTTTGGATCAATAAGAAAATAAATTTCAGATTTTCTTTTAAGAATATCAAGCTATTTTTCTTTAAAGACACTGCTTCTGGCCTTGTGCTCCATCAGCATTGTGAATCAATAATACTTGCTTAAGGAAGTTTTGTCAGCGGCCCCCAACATTTTTGGCACCAGAGACTGATGCTCCTATGAGAATCTAATGCCTGATGATCTGGGGTGGAGCTGAGGCAGTTTAGCCCTGGGGAGCTGCAACAAATACAGATGAAACTTTGCTTGCTTGCCCGCCACTCACCTACTGTGCGACCTGGTTCTTGTAGGCCACGGACTGGTACCGGTCTGCTAATAAAGAATGTGTTAGCTGATGGGATGGGCTGAGTGCCTAAAAGGGCTTTCTGGATTTGTGCTAATTGCTCTGGGGTGCTGGGGCCGGGGGTGCTGGAGGCATTAAAGAATTCTGAAGAAAATAAATCAAAGGGTTGGGAGTGGACACCAACATTTATCAAGTACTGTATTTCCTGTGTTTATAGGGTGCTCATGAATTAGAAAACATGGTTTGGGGAATGCTAGGAGCAGAATGTTTAATCATCAATTTAAAATAATTTAGGGATCCTAAGGAGGCATTTGGAAAGCTCCATATGTCAACAAATAAAAGAAACCCAAAGAATTCTAGGAATACACTTCTATCTTACCCATTTTGGTTTCTCAGGGTGGAAGGTTTATGCTTTATTTTTCTCTGGTGGTTTCAGTTTTATGCCCTTTTTTTCTCCCTTGAGGCTTATACAATACCTCTCTAACCCATATTTACTAATATTTACCCGCACCCCTCTGATTTATCCCGGAAAATTATTTCCATATACATTTTTATATCTTCATTCTGGCTTTCATTTGAAAGCTAAAGCGGAGAGGGGGTGAGGCAGAGAAGCATCTCTAGGCATCTGCATGGTGTCAGACTCTGCTAAAAATCTAACAGATTCCCCTCTATAATTCACATGCTGCCGTTCAAGGTCCTGTACACAATGGTTTTAGTCCATCTTTCCTGTTCTCCAGAACTATTAACAGCCAAATTGGTCTCTCCCACTACACTGGAATTCTTAGAGAACAGGAACTAGATCTTAAATGGTTGTTTCCCCAAATATGCCTTCCCTTTTTCATTGCATATAACATGTTTAATTCTTATTTCTT